CTTGTAAAGGTCAGTGTTTAGTGCAGATTCATAGCCCATCAAGCTCTTGAGAGTAGATGCCTGTTGCTGTAGTACAGTAGCCCAATGTTCAGTGATAAATGGGAGAAAATAATCAGATATACCCACTACCCATTCCACATCTAAGAGAACTTGAAGTGGGTGGCGAAGAGGAAACAAAAACAGTAAGCTGGAGAGAGAGGTAGAACAATGTGTAGCTCTTTCCTTCAAACTGAAGTATTTCCAACTGGGAGAGAGGAAAGACATTAAGACTCAGAAAATAAATGAAATGCAAAAGGCTCAGGAAACTCCTGAAAGTTAGTAGACTCACATACCCTGGGGAATACATAAATAGTAACAACTGCTCTCCACAGCAGGCTGAGCTACCTGAAAGATATATACATATACATATACATATACATATACATATACATATACATATACATATACATATACATATACATATACATATACATATACATATACATATACATATACATATACATATACATATACATCATCAGGGATGCAGATTTCCTAAGTGCTGGGGCGGGGCTTTTCTCTACTACAACTGCCCAAGTCCTCCTACTCCTCTAAGTAATCTCTCATCTTATATGCCCCTATAAGTAACTCAATAAGTACACTATGTCATTGGTGCCCTACTTCTGGTAAATGTTTGTTTATATCTCCCTGGAAAAATTACACAATACCACACCTGTACCATCTGCGCCAAAGGTAGACATACCTAACCAGCAGATGATAGGGAAGTGTTGAACAGTTGTGCGGCTGCTGATACTGTCACCAGAGGAACCTTGTCCTTCCCACTAAACATCTATGTTCTAGTTCAAGAACACTCAAGTAAAAATCCAAATATAAACAATAAAGTGGCCAGTCCTGGATTAAAAATAGTTGAATGAAACAGAAAAAGCAAAAGAGCAGAGTTGAGGGTAGAAAAAAAATGAGACAAATTAGGCAGATCATCAACAAAAAAGAAATTTCCTGAAGCCCTAATGTACACTATCATGCCATTAGCAGTCTAGTACAAAAATCCAATCTAAACAACTGGACTATTTTCCTGACTAGCTTAGGTTGCTCCCCAAGCAGAGGATGTAACACCATCCTAACACCACACTTTCTGGGCATGCAGGGTTTACTGTGGAAAAGACCTAGGTGGATGATCATGTAAGTCTTACTTTGCGTAGTTAGCAATCGGTGCTGCTCACTGGGCACACGTCAGGCCATAAGTCTGAGTTACTGAATGACACCTCGTTGGCTCTTTCTCATCTCTTCCCACATACCAGGACCTGTCTTGTCTGATTTACCCACATTCTGATGCAACTAAGTTGTTTGTCCCAGACCTGAACTTCTCTAACCCTAAGAAATCTAATCCTAATAACTTCTTCATAGACAGGGTTCAAACCTTGAGATTTACCTACTACAATCAACCCCTGTGGACAGCTATGCAGAGAAACCTTCTTTACTTAGAGGACAGTGAATTCGTGTTTGTTCTGTTCCGTGATTACTCCACCATCAAAGGAAAATGGGCCAGTAACCTCAAAATTCACTTCAGTGCTGTTCACAACAGCCACAAACAAAAACAACTTGCACATCCACCAGTGAAGAAGTAGATAAAAAGAATGCAGTGCACTTACATTGTGGAATACTATTCATTCATAAAAAAGTATGGAGTACTGGTCATAAAGGCATTGTTGGCACTGCAAGCCAGCCAGTTGTGCAGGCAAGCTATGCAGTCTCATTTGTGGAGCCTGACAAAAGTTCTTCTCTGAAGCTGAGAACACAGTTGTGGATATTGGGGTAGTAGGGACAAGAGAGAGCTATGGGTATAGTTATTACTATAGTTGGAACTTCTAGTATGCTATTTTATTGCATAGAAATTAATGTTTTAATAGAGAATGTGCTGTACATTTCAAAAAACTAGTTTTGTCCAACATAAAAAATGACAAATTTAAGGTAATTGATACTTTTAAATGAATTTAAGTACTACTCTCTCTCTCTCTCTCTTGCTCCCTCTCCCTCCCACCTCTCTCTGTGTATGTGTGTATATACATGTGTGTATATTGGGGGGACATTTCCTCATTATGAAGTTTTTGTTTTTATGGGTCTGTTCTAGAATTTTTTAATTTTAATTTTTAAAGGAATATTAAATAAATGTCATTTGTAGAGAATACTGATCAAAGTCAAGAGTTGACAACTGCCCTCCTTTTACAACACTTCAGGAGATTTCACTGCCAACAATGACTTCTCCTAGGCAGCTATGGCCCAACCATCCTGGCATGGGTTGAGAGGCAAATGGTATTACTCACACTCACTGATTAGCAATAGATCTTTGCCTAGTGTGTGCAATTAAAGTTTTGAGATTAAAACTGTCTACATCTGTCTGCTAACACATCAGGAACTATCTAAAGACACATTTTACATGTTCCTTATTGAATCTGATTTATTACACCTTAGTCAACTTTCAGATTAAGTCTTTGAGATAACTATGTCAGATAACTAAGATGATAGCTTTTCTTATACACAGCAAAATCAATCTGGGAAAAGGCATTCTAAAAAGGAAGAATGAGGAATCATAATATGAAAAGAAATTCCAGTTCACTTTTGGGTGAATCCTGAAAGTAAATCCTGAAAATGATTTGTAGGGCAGACTTAATGTTTAATAAAGCAATCCTTCTCCATAGTACCGAAATACATATTTAAATACTAGTGTTGAGCTACCTCAGGAAATGTTTCTCAGTTAACATAAAAAGTTATTGACTATGTAGCTATCTCTCTTTAAATATAGCATACCAAATGTAACTCATGCTTAACCACTCATCACTTCTATATAATTATGCTTGTGAGGGTGGTGTGAGTGCCTACATGATGACATGTGACAAAGAAATCAACAATAAATTTGTTTAAAATTCTATAGTAGGTGACAGCTATCATTCATCAACTGACATCAAATGAATGTACATTGATCTTATTCTTCCAGTATTAATGAAGTCATGGAATCCAATGACACTCGCTCATCTTTGTTAAGTTGTGCTTTACTGCTATCCTCTCGTGTACCACCAAACTGCTGTGTGTGCTCAGTTTCTTAAGGGAGTAAACATAGACAGTTCAGCTAGCAAGTGTACATTTGACAGCAACAGGTGTAGATTCCATAACTGTCTCTGTGCATCTCATAAGAGGTAGAGTTCATATTAGCACCCCAATGGAGCCCTCAAAAGTCACCGGTATTATAATAGTATCTATTATTTATATTATGAGTGTTGGACAATAATTCAATATTTTCACCATCAAAACTTGAGTAACCATTATACAACCCCAAATGTGATCAAATTAATCAGAGAAATGTCAAAATGAAGTGCTTTCTTTTCCTTTAAAGTCTTTTACTCATTTTAAAGTTTGTCCACATTACTAAATAACATACGGTGTTGATCACCACAGATGAAGTACATTCAGCACTAAGAAAAAAGTCAGTAATAATATGTAAAAGTACTTTCCCTCGTACTTGGGAAGCAAGTTTCAAGCCTGAGCTATTCATGAAGCCTTCCCTTAAAGCACCTTCACCTGAAGCTGGATCCCACATGCAGACAGTACGAGGACAGAAGGACAACAGAACATTCATCAGAAGCATCTAAACCCAATGCCTTTCTTTCTCTTTACACTGCAGGAGCACAAGACAAGAATACAGAAACCATTTCTTGGAAGCACGTTTTGTCTTGATGGATACTCTAGAGCAGAGGTCTCAGTCTGTACATTTTTAGGTCTCTGGACTGTATGCAAAATATCATGAAAGTACACACTTTTTCCTACCAAAAGCACCTTTTTCTCCTCATTGTAAAAATATGGTGAAAAACAAGAAACTGAGGAGAAACATTAAATGTTTCCTCCACATTAATTTAACATTATCATGAGATGACCCAGCAGTGAGGAAGCACTGAGCACCGGAGACAAACACCGACTGTCAAGTAAGATGCTGCTGAAACAGGCCTGACAGCGTTCAAGGGCTGTGAGACAGACCCACTCCCCAGTGTCATCTCTCCAAGTCATTGTGACAAGATTAAATTAGACTACCTGCAAAGCCACTCTTAACTGTTATAAACTGAGATGTTATTTATTCTCATAGATATTTTAAGTTTAATGAGAATATGGCTGTGTCTTGTTTTTAACTTTTAAAAATGCCTCCAAATTGCTGATGTGCCTTAAACATTTTAAACAGAAGGGAATACTTTTTAAACATTTGAACAAGCAAAGTACAGTTAAGCAAATCCTTTAAGAGTGAGACTAACACTAGTTCGTCACAGGTACACAGAGGCCTGCTGGATATGGCTTCTAAACCAAATCTCCACTTCTGGCCCTTTTTAGGGGAAGGAGGTAAATGAACAAATTAATTGGCACAACACAATAAGGACAGAATGTGACAGTTTATCACAAGGTACGCATTTATATACAACTTTTAAACCAGGGAACAGGGCAGTACTGAGTAGAGATGGAATAAACCAACAGAAGCCGAGCCGGTCAGGACTGAGTAAGGTTGAGGTTAGTGGCAACAGCATGTGTGTGGTTTCCAGGAAACCTTCAGTAAGACTGCTGTTAGCCCTAGCCCCGCACCTTGCCCAGCCCAGTGTGCTGCTTCTTCCTCCAGCTCCCGCCTGGCCTGGCTCAGAGCAGCACTGCCCTGCTCCCAGGAGTGTGGTGGCCCAGCACGAACTCACCTTGGCTGTGAAGGGGCCAGAAGTTTAAAACCTGTTATGGCATCATGGCAAAAGTGTAATGAACACACACACACACTTCACACACTCATGTTCCAGAGCAAGAAAACACAACCAGTAAGACAACCTCTACACAAAACACCCTCAGGAAAGCAGAGACAGAATTTTTTTAACACCCATTATTACCACAAAGGTTAAGAACAGAGCAGTGCAGTGCGTTGCTGCACCACAAAATTCCAGCTAATGCATTAAAGTACTGAAAGTAATCATGGCATCACCTACTTTAACTGCCATTATCTGCCCACTTGGTTTGTGGACCATTTTGTTGACAGAACCATAAGCTCCTCGTCCAATTTCTCCAAGGTCTTTCAAGTCCTCTGCAGTGAAATCCCAGTGTTGTTCAGGGGAGATCTTCAGTTTTCCTGATGACTCAATGCTGTGTGTTCTCAGTCTCTCTCTGTTAAAATATTGGGAAGCAATTTTTCCACATTTTAAATAGGTTTTAACTTTTTTTCTTTTACCTATCACTGAGTTCTGTGTGGGAGAGCTCATCAAATCATAAGGATACAAGTAGCATGACCTTCAGTTCTGGAGCCATTTGTATCACCTTGCTTTTTACACACTGAATTTTGGTAAAATACATTTAGGTACCAAAAGGCACAGCTTCAAAGACATTCATTCAATCCAATCTCCTTTTGCTGATGAAACTAACACTGTCTACCAGTTTTGATTACTCAATAGTAGATCCTTTTTGAGCCTACAAAACTGTGTTACCAAGCAAGAGCCCCAGAGTTGAGACATTTCTACAAAGTGCTTACCCTATCACACCTTCTAGATGGTAAAGCTGTTTCAAAACTTTGCTGTACCTGAGGACAGTCTGACCTACTGTTCTAAACTCCAAAGTCCAGGAAGCAGCCTATAGCAGTTAAAGCAGAGTGTATGAGATAAACTGGGAGCAGCATTTCTAAGCATCCCCAGTGATATGTGGGAATGAGTACTTTAATATACTATCCTGTTATTGCTTACACCATGCTGAAGTGCCAGATACTAAAAGGAAGTCTGTGCTGTCTTCATTCAAACCTTGCAACCTCTGTTCAACAGCAAGAATAATGAGCTGAAAAGGGAGTTGGTTACTAGGAAAAACAGAGGTATTTATTGCATTAAATACCATACCCAATCCCAACACAGAAACCTTTCTCTTCTCCCTCTTCCCACATGTGAGAATAAGCTATTTTTACATAGGATGTGCAACACGTACAGGTGACTGAGTTTCAACTAACTAGTTTTCAGTTTCACACTAAATTACCAGAATCTGTTTCAAAGTCTAGCCTTGTAGTGCGAACAAGGAAGGTTTACAGGCTCAGTTTTCTATCTTGTTCTTGCAGAACTCTAGACTATCTTCATTTTGTAGAAATGGTTTCCTGTGGCTTCTTCTAAGGGCCTCAAAAACTTTAGAATGCTAAAAGTCTCTTTTCCCAAATGGCCACACTGACTAATGTTGGTAATAACCAGTATTGAAGGGTATAGTTAAAAGCCTTGTATATTTTATCTAAATGATGTAGGAAAGCCATGCTCACACTGCAGGCTGGAGTCACAAAAGTGCTTTCCACTTCCACCTCTGCCTAGCTCCCAGTGATAGAATCCCAGAGCCAGGGACAAGGGACCACTTCAGTCCTGATGAAACCAGCACTGATCTCTGAAGATGGAAAATATATTCAGGTGATAACAAAGAGTTTCTTCTTGGTTACCTTTCTCCTGAAGTAGACAGAGTAAGCCAAGAAATTCCATTGATAATGACCATCGTTCTATAATTGTTGGTAATACCAGCTCCACAGCCCATTTTAATCACTGATGAAGCACCCCACTGGCCTAACAGTGAAAGTAGCTAGAAAGAGTTAATTGAAACCACTTGTAAACTGGAAGCCAAATTTAAAATATTCACTAACACTAGGGCCACATGGTTCCCAGTATCTTTCCCCTCCTGGCCTCAGGCTGTTTTCAGGATTCTCTTTTTGGAGGGGCCAATCTGTGAGTTGCTTTGAACCAACGAAATATGGAAGAGATTATGGGATACCACTCCATGACTACATTATGTCACACGCATATGCTACTCTCCTTGAGAATGGAAATGAATGCATCACTCTTACATAAAAAGCATGGAATGCCAACAGGCATAAAGCTCTATAATTTTAAGGGCAAATTTTAGCATTATGGAATCTCTCTGGTAACAGTTCAGTTTACTTTAGTCAGCTATATCGTTTTGAGATTAACTCTTACTTTCTTTTTGAAAATGAACAGTTAAATAAATAGCTAAGAGACACAAAATAGCTTACTGAGCTAATAAAAGGCCACAAATTGAGTAAGCCACCATATAGTCAACTTTTTTTAACATACTACAGAGAACATTACATGGTTATGATATCAGCACACCATGTTCCTACAGCCTTCACTCATACCTGGGCTGACAACCTTTGCAGGAAATCTAAACCTTTTGCTTCAAAAGCCCAGTTAAATGGCTTCCAAAAAATAAGTAAGTATAGCAGTAGCTAGGAAACTTGTCTGAACTCTAGTTGTCAGTCAATATCTGCCCTAAATTACTTTAGGGGCCATAATAGTTTGAATGAAAATGGCCTCCACAAGCTCATTTATTTGTATGTTGGACTCCCAGTTGTTGATATGTTTTGGAGAAGGTTTAGGGGGTGTGGCCTTGTTGAAATAGTGTGGCCTTACTGGAGGAGATGTCACTACCAGTAAGGTTTCAAAAGCCCAAACCAAGACCAGTCTTTCTGTCTCTTCCCTATGGACCAGGATGTAAGTAAGCTCTTAGCTACTGCGCCAGTACCCTGCCTGCCTGCTACCTGCCTGCCTCCATGATGATTGTGACCTTCATGGCATTTCCTCACAATAATAGGAGAGTACTAAGCCAGGGCCAGGGACCTAGGAAAGGAAGCCTATAAACAAAAGAACATATGAATTTGAATTGGAAAGCCTGGCAAGCAGGCCAGCATTAAGGCTCAGTGGATAAAGACACTTGCTGCCAAGCCCAATTACCTTGGTTCAACCCCTAGATCACACATAAGAAGGGGAAAATCGACTCCCACAGTTGTGCTCTCATCTCAAAAAGCATGCTATGGCAGGTGTGTATGTACGTACACATACGTATACACACACACACACACAGTTGAAAAATGGGTTTTAAAAAAAAACACAGAAAATATGTAAATTCATACTCTTTTGACGGCACTCTTAAAAAGAAAAAAGTTCCCTGACTCTCTAAGGTAACCCCTTTCTTGAGAAAACAAAAATAACATGTTTTATCCAAAAATATCTCCAACAGCCTTCATGTTCTCTTCACAGTTTTCTACAAACCACCCTAAGCTGCCTTCAGTGAATAAATCCATAATGTCCCAACTGCAAGCTCTTTATTACCAAGCTGGGAAACTCAACCAGAGTATGAGGCAGATATAATCATCATGCTGCCCAGCACCCATCCTCCTCTCCATCCTTCCCACATGAGGTAGTAATCCTAACCAATTATGAACTAAATTATCTTTCCTCTCAACATTCACATACCAAAGAATCCCTGGCTTGACTGTATTGAAGATAGGGTCTATAGAGATAACCAAGGTTAAAGAAGGTTAATAAGGTGGGGCCTATTCCAACAAGACTGGTATTCTTGTAAAAGAAATCACTAGAGACCTTGCTTCATTCCCACATGCATAAAGAAAAAAGGTCCCATGAACATTGAATGAGATTGTGCCACCTGGAAGTTGTGAGAAGAGACCACAGAATGGAACTATCTTATTAGTAAGCTGAACTTGGACTCTTTACCCTCCACAACTGTGAGAAATGTTTTCTGCTATTTAAGCCACACAGTCAATGGTTTGGTTTTAGTTTTTAAGCAGGCCAATCTAGAATACCAACAACTCTTACAGTTAGAAGTGGTAAATGGGAACAAAGCACTTTAAAAGGAATTGATATAACTCCCTCTCCTCCTCTTTGTTGTCCCAGGCTTTTTCAAGATTCTTGAGAATGGAAAAAGTATCTTGAGAATGACAGGGTGACCACAAAAGCACTCTAGACTTCACCTGTGACAACACTACATAAGCCCTGGCTGATCTCTAAATGAATCTATGGAAAGGGGAAAGCAAACTATGAGACCTATGCTATTGTCTGTACTTTATGCTTATATGCACACAAATTTACTCTGAACTAATAAAGTCCCTAATCTTATTTTATCTCCCAGTGGTTCTCAAAGGAGGGAGAGTCCCACATCCCTAGCATCTGGCACAAGAAGAGACAGGTCAGCAGAAAGATTCACTCACAATATAGCATCTGGAGACAATAACCCCAAATATATTCAAACCTACAGCCAAATTCTAGCCAAAAGCTCTGCCTTGAAAGGAATCCTCAACTCATGTATCTCTGGATTCTTAGCGACATAAGTCTTAAATCTAATAATTATTGGTTCCTAAAGAAAACACATACATACTCACAGAGAGAAAAACTTCATAAAAGTTGGACAAGATTATAAGGAGGACATTTGACATTGGGTTTTAATGCATTCAATACAAGCCTTTGTGAATCAATGCACAGAGATTAAAGTCTGAAATCACAGACTTACCTTGTCACATGAAAATCTGCAAACTGTCCCTTTTGATCCTACAAATTTGTACTGAAGTCTTTTCTGATTATTTAGCTTTTGGACAGATATAACCAACTTGTTCATTTACTACTTAACACTGTGTCTAAGATAGCTGTCATCTTTCACTGACCCACACAGAATCTATAATTTCTCAAAACCTACAGATTTACAAAACAAAGAGCTGTGACATGATGTTACAGAACATTAATCAGACCAAACCCTGAATTTCTCTGGGTAGGCTCAGCTGTCCTGAAACTCACTCTGTAGACCAGTTCAAGACTGGCCTTGATCTCATAGAGATCTACCTGCTTCTGCTTCTACCACCACCAGGCAAAAAGTTGTATTTCCATCTCATGTGACTGAGAAAGCTGTCCAGGGGTTTCTATATAGGTGGGTAAATCTCATGTTGTTTTCTATGTAGATGGGCAGACTCCACATTGCTTTTGTTTTAAATATAGTGACACAACCAAGAAATGACAGGCAGGTCCAGCCTCACTGGAAACGTCATACCTAACCTCTGTTGTTAATACAGTGGCAGTGTCTGCTTTGCAAACTCAGTGGCAAGACAGGTTTGTGAGCCACTCCTGTCTACCTCTGCACCCTCACCAAGGTAGCGGTAGAGAGAAGGAAAATGTCACTCACAATTCAGCAAGAAAACACTTTCTGTTTGTATTTTTCTATACAGTATGCATAAATAACAAAAAAAAAAAACTAGTTTACAAATTCCACTAAAATATTTTAACATAGCAGTCATTAAATAAACAGAGACCTCGTTTTTGGTCGGGGCTCCACAGCATGCTTGCACAGATCTA